AGCTGTTCAAGTGGTTATGGTTAGAAACATGACTGAGGAGAGGGCACATGATGTCGCACATCGATCAGGCGATAACTGCGCCAACTTGTTTTCTGAGTCATTTCTGAGTTTACTGAGAAAAACAATTCTTTTTTCTCACTTTTGTCAGCAGCATTGCAGAAAAAATGCAAAGAGCTGGGGCTGAACGAGTGCGGGGCTGGGGAGCCTGCTCACTACCTATGGGTCCATCAGGAAAACTCAGCAGCCGCTCCCAGCACTGCTCCAGTATCATGGATTTGCTTCCCATGAGTTTCCGTGATGCTGCTCGGCATCATCCGGTGCTGACCTGACTTTATTCATTCCAAACAGCCAAAAGCTTTCAGTTTATCCAGCTCCTGGTTTCTGCCAATAATGAACTGTGCTAATGAAGACAGAGAAGAGCAGCCAGGCTTTGGGAGGCTTCACTTGTCAGTGCAGAAGCTAATGGGAAGTGTGATAACGGGGTAATGACACCCATCTGGGTGCTGGTGTGAATTCCTGGGGTTCAAGAGGACCATGCCAGGTTATCACTTGTTCAAATGGGATTTGAAATGGCCTCTGGATTGGAGGCCCAGGGGGTTGTTTGGCAATTACCCTCTGATTTTTAAGGGGCTGAGAATGAGCACTATTGCTGCAGTCAATCAGAGCACCCAGCTATGATTAGGGTAGGGCTGCCTGCCAATTCACACCACTGCAAGTATATAAGAAATGGCCCTAGTGCATAAAGCCCTAGTGGGTTTTCCTTCTGCCTGTGGAAACAGCATTATGTCCCTTTGGTGGGGGTTTTGGTGAGCTACAGGATTACCAGGAGAGATGCAAAATCCTCCAAGCACTTTTGTTTCAGGTGGCTGAGCTAGGTTTTTTCTGCAGGTCTCTTCCTGAAGGATGCCAGGGAGTGCTCCTGAGCTCAGATAGTGCTGGACTTTATTATCAAGTCTCATTTTTTCTTTTATTAAAATTACTGCAGGCATTTCTGTCATTCACTCTTCTGTCATTTCATATCCGAGATGCTGCTGTGAAAGATGAGTAGTGAAAAAGATTGTCAACCAAGAATGGTCTGTAAAGCGTTATCATGACTTCTTCTAGCCTGAAAGTACATTGAAATGCACTTATTGAAACTGGTGCCTTATCGCTCTGAAACACTTTACTGGAAGCCTAGTGTTAACGTGCGCCTGTGGTCAGTTCTCGACAGCCCGGCTCCTTCACATCGCAACAGCTTGGTTATTTCATGCTTTTAAGGATTTTTTCTAGGATAAACTGAAAGCTTTTGGCTATTTGAAATGGCTGAAGCCAGCTCAGCACCGGGTGATGCCAAGCAGCACTGCAGAAACTCGTGGGAAGTGAATCCTGCTGGAGCAGGGCTGGGAGCGGCTGCTGAGTTTCCCTGATGGAAGCGGCTGCCTGTGAGTAAGTGTCTCATCTCCTGCCATGGACTCTCCAGGAACTTCTGCTTTGTTACTCACTTCAGCAAGCCATTTGTCTGGTGCTTTCTGCTGTTGCTGAGACGTTGCTGCTACCCCAGCAGGGTTGCACAGTGGGATGATGTGATCCTTGGCAGGATCTGGGATCCAGAGCATCGTTCATGGCAGCAGTCAGAGCTGCCAAGAGCTGGAGCAATCCAAGAGGCAGCTCCAAGAGTCGTTTTCCAGGGTGCATCAGGGACATTCCCTTTGGCTTCATGGAACTGCCAACCCCTCGTGTGCCTTTTTGAGTTGGATCACTGCAGATGTGAGTCCATCAGTCAAGCTAACGATAAATGGGGCTTAGTTCTGAATTCCCGAGCATGGTGGCAGCTGGCTGCCAACCCTCTGTGCTGCCTTTGCTTCTTATTTGGGTTGTAATTACTTTTGGTGTACTACCATAAAATCCAAAGGGAGGAGCCCTCTCCCGTTGGCTGGAAGGGTTCCCAGGGAGAGGACCACTTCCCTGCTGCCTGCACACTTCCAACCCTGCAGTACCCAAAAGACTTAATTATTCAGAGTGCCTGAGGGAGCCAGTTCCCATTTTGCCGTCTGAGCTCATCTGCACCGTCACGCTGCCGTGGTTCAGAAATCCCGATTTCTCCTTTTCCTCTTCCTTCCCAGAACGCATGAGGAACAGCTTGCTCTTTTATTGAGGCTATTTCCGTGGCAGGTAGTTGAAAACCTCCCTTAGGCAGGCTGTCAGTAAAGCCAAGCCTGGGTGATTTGCTTCCACTGGGATTTGGTCCAACACATGCTGAGATCCCTGCTGATGCCATCCCATCTGCTACATAAAGCGAAGGTTCTGGACCTCCCACAGATCCAGCACTTGAGGTAATCAATCTCTATCATTGCACATGTACTTAAAAACCCCAAATGAAACGTACTTGGATGGTTTCCCCCTGTGCTGCTGTGGTTATTCTCCTCCTTGCCCTTATGGCAAGGGTCATGCTATAGCCTCTGCTTTGCAAATGGACAGTGACAGGATGGAGAGGCCAAGGGGTACCCACCCACCGCCATGCAGAGATCTCTAATGGAGCAAGGCCATGGACCCTGCTCATGTCACATTTCACTCCCCTTTCTGTATCACCCCAGCATCTTTCCTCCACCAGCCTGGCAATTTTACGCCACGGCTGCAGCCTGCTGGCATTTGGCTGAGCTGAGAGTCAGCTCAGTCACCAACAGGAAAAAACCCTAAAAAAGAAGCAATCCCTTCTTGTCATCTGCAATTTACATAATGAAGTAAGAACCCATTGTCTCTTCCCTGCTTTCCTCACCAAGGCTGGGTGTGCACCGGGAACCTGGGAACGCTGCGGTGCTGCTTCCTGTGCTCCAAGCAAATCTTTTGCTGCAATTCCAGGCAGCAGCTGGGAATTGGGGCAGGAAGGCAGAGATTAACAGCCTTGTGCTGCTGAGAATCCCTGAGACACCTCAGCATGGGCAAATGCAACCTGCTGCAGATTTGGACCTGCCTTTTGGCTCTTTGACAGTGTGAAGGCACAGGGGTGAGGGGGGCATGTTTGCTGCATTTGGGGTAGTTTCAGCAATACTATATGCAATCCTATGACTAGCCTGGGCATAAAGTCTACTTGCCTACTCGTCCCCTGATGATGGATATATGCTCAACATCGAGCTTGGTTATCAATAAATTACTCACCCAGCAAATCTTCATAGAACAGCCCTGGCCCACAGGCAGTGGCACACAACATACACTTGCGTTGCAACAGCCACATGCTCAGGCTGCTGCTCTCACTGAGAGAGAGGTGTTTTGCCACCTCCATGCCCTCTAAGTCCATCTGACCTCCCCTCCTGGGTGCAGGTAGTTCAAGAAGATTTTACACTGCTCGTTTTTGTTTGTATATTGAACTTTGCTCTCAGCAGAAACAACCAAACTGGCCTCAGAGCCAACAGCATTGTGAACCAGCCTGGGGTTTGCACCAGTAGTGCTACATACGTGTGACAACACACCTCAGCTGGCAAACCTGGATCCCTGGGGACAGTCTGGATCTGAAACGTTGATATGAGAAAGTGCCTGGTCTGCTCAAAGGCCTTGTCTGCATCAGTTCTGCTTAGTAGCTGATGCTTGTGGCAGGGTTATCACAGGCTTTGCAGTCAAGGTCTTTGCTGGTGGGTAAAACATTGCTGCTGCTGCTGCTGGGCTGGTGGATATTCAAAGGTTTGAATGAGATTTCTGTCCTTCTGCAGGGTGATAACTTCAGACTGTGCATTGTGATCACCCATGCTCCTGAAAACCACGTGACTTCTGGCTCTGTCACCCCAAAGCCCTGCCTCTCGTACCTGCACATCTCTGGTCTCCTCACCAGGAACATGCCAATGGAGATGAGTGTTCATCCACCTGAGGAGCAAGCCTGGGAGCATGGTTCCCTCTACCTCGCAGATGAAGGCCCCATGTGCCAGGACAGTGATGGAGAAAAGTCTTGCCAACTTTCTGAGTCATGCTACTTTTACTAGCACACCATGTGTCCTACTGCCAGGAGCCCTGGGCTGTTTGGACCACTGCATCCCGGGGGGTGCTGCTCAGCTTCCTGCATCCCAGCACCTCTGTGATGAGCTGGGAACAGCTCCTCTCCAGGAGAGGCTTGGCAGTGGGGTCTATGCTGTGGGGAGGACCCAAGCTTGGCTTTTTGGGGACGTAACCCCCGTGATGGTCCCTCCTTTTGGCTGCATCCTTCTTCCCAAACAGAAGATGACACGACAATGCCAAGATTTCCTGGCTCCGTAGGTGAGGGAAGCACCTGTGGGTGAGGGAGCTGGTCCCTTTCACTAGCTCATTAATTCAGTAAATTACAAAGGGAAATACATGCTGGGAAAAGCAAGGAAAATTCCAAAAGTTAATCCAAGAGTTATTTCCTCCTGATACCTGGATAAAACCGCGTTCTCCAGAGCTCTCCAGGTCAGACCCAGAGAGACCGGTGAACCTACATCATAGAACAAGGTAAAAAACTTTTGCTCTATGTGCTTATGTGTATACCCTTGTATCCCTCTAATGTGTCTCTAAAAGGGTTTTCTTTTTCATTAATAGCCTTAATTTTCAGTGCTAACACAACTTTCCTTTGAAGGGGTATTTCTGAGGGGAAGCATTTTCTTTTGGGATCAGACTTTGGGATCTGCTGCTCTCGGTTGCAGTTACCTCCTGCTGCTTCTGAGTCAGTTGACTTTGAAAACTGTAATTTATCTGTATTTACTTTCCTGATTAATTTTCTTTTGGAATAACTTTGTCTATTTACATGCAATATTTAACTGCTTTCTTTTCTTCATCTTCTTTTGGAATCTTCTGTTAAATATTTGGCTTTATTTGATTTTCCCTCTTGCACATGGGGAATAAAAAAGAAATGGGTAGGAGATACCAGTCAATGTGGGGGTTTTTAATACATGTGTGTATGTACAAATGCTATACAGAATATCTAAATTTCCACAAGCACCACAATTGTGTTATTTAGGAAAGGCAGCGAGGCAATATTGTCTTCCTTGAACAGGTCTGTGCTGGCATCCTGCAGCAGCATGAAGGGATCCCAGCTGTTCCTCTGCCTCTTCTCTGTGTCGTGCTGGTTGAATCTGATGCCGACAGCTGGGAACAGAATCTTCCGCTTTGGACGCTGCAGGGTTTCAATGAGCATGACTGAGATCAGGCTTGGCTTCACTGCAATTAAAGCCAACATTGTAAGTATTGCTCCACACTCTTGTAGAGCTGGGGAAGCTCTTTAGCTGGTGGGTCCTGAAGCCCCTCTGGAGCCAGCATGTACATCACCATCTGTGTCTTCTCCCACGCAGCAAGCCAGAGACCCCATCAGGACCCTGAGCATTTTGTCCCACCCGCACTCTCTGCACAAGGTTAAGGTAGGTGCCCTTACAATGTCTCCAGTTCTCTGAACGATGTTGGCCACCTCATGCCCTGACACCCATGATGAGGTGTACCAGCTCAGGGCATCGGGGGAAGTTGTTCAATGCCATGACTTCTTCTAAATTCCTGTGAAACACAGTCACCGAGCAGGTCAGGGAGGATAAAGTGATGTAGATCACGTATGCAAAAGGAGGTGGGTGCCCCACTGTCAGTTCATGCCCCAGGGCTTTCACCCTGACTGTCTTTCCAGGAATGGTGGGCAGAGATATTCTTGTTGTTGTTACATGTGATGCTCCAGTTACAGAAGCCGTAGGTGCACTCCTCACCGGCTCGGTCAGCAGAGGCATAGCAAAGTGAACCAGGATTTGGGTAAAGCTATTAAAGAATCCAAAAGTGGGTGAATATGATCTTGGGAGGTGAAATATATTATACCTAAGTATTGTTCAGCTCCCTTACAACATAAAGCACTAGACATGGACCACTGCTGCAGGTCTCAGCCTCTAATACCTAGCTACATAATCGTAGAATGGTTTGGGTTAGAAGGGACCTCAGAGATCATCTAGTTCCAACCCCTTGCCATGGGCAGGAAAATCAGCTGTTTGTTTTGTAAACTCAATGTGACTTGCTGAGGATGGAACTCCTGGAAAAGCAGTCTAAAATAATTTCCTAGGTATGTAACCAGTTTACATTAAGCATCACTGAGAAAAGCTCTATAAGAATCAAACCATACCACTGTGCTCAGCTACCATGCTTGGTGTTAAGAGATGGTTTATTCTAGATGTGGGCAGAACGGTTGGGCATTATCTGTTTATAGCACCTTGGAAGACCTTTTGGAAATGGATTTTATTCCTTAAGTCTTCAGATAGGTGCTGCATCACCCATCACCTCTTCAACTTCTACGTGGACAAAGTCTTCAAGCACTGCAAGACTGAGGATTCATACATCAACCGAAAAATCAGCAGCATAGCCAACTCCTTCCTCAGCATGAAGAGGAAACTCAGGCAGTGTGTAAGTCTTGGGTATTGCGTCAGCTTAGTTTCATCTCCTAGTACTTGGTGTATAAATAAACCTAAACATTTTATGAAGATACAGGATCTTTATTTATAAAGATGGTTTTAACAAGGATACAAAGCAGCACGATGTGAAGAGTGCATCTGCTCACTGGGAAGTTTTTATACTTGCCCACTCATCAGCAAACTCCCACGTTAGCTCTCAAGAACAATATTTACCCTGTCCCTCTGCCTGTTGAAGTAAACTCTGTTCTTAGCTGAAGTCTGATTAAAGGACCTGCAGCCTTTTCCACAGATTAACAAGGTCTCAGGTTATAATTTCCAGCTTCTCTCTTTTTTTTACAATTAACCCCTCGAATGAATTCTATGTTATTTTTCTAGCATGAGCAAAACAAGTGCATGTGTGGAGAGGAATCCACTGAGAAATTTAAGCAAATACTTGCAAATTACGAAGGGGTAAGTTGATGACTAAGGCTTGTCATTAGTACAGATACTCAGATTCTCTTTACAGTGGGTTGTACTTGTCTTTGTTTACAACTTGCTCCTTTATATCCTTTCAGCTAAATGTCACATCTGCAGCGATGAAATCCCTGGGTGAGCTGGACATCCTACTAGACTGGATGGAGAAGTCTCAGAGAGCAGAAGGTGTTAACAACCCACCAGTGACTGGAGCTGAGGAAGCTGCTGGGACATCGCACACTCCAGTGGTGAGCAGGAAGACAATGTGCTGCACCACTGCAGATTCCCACTGATTGCACCCCTGTCCAGGCAAACACTGAGTGTTCTGCTAGTTGGGTACATGGGTGAATGCATCAGCAGACCCTTGCATGAAGGTGCAAATATTGAGGTTGATGAGATGAGCACAGCACTCACTTAGCTGCCTTCTATCAAAGGATGCTCTCCAAGGGAAGATCTCAAAGGATTTCTCTTGCTACAGACATAAGCTGTGATCATTTAATAAAATAAAATTATTGTTTAAATTATCATTTTTTATATAGGGAATGTACAGTCACGAATGGTGGAATGAGTCTGGTGTAGTTAATGCTGCAGAGCAGTGCTCATAAATCTGGGCTCAGTCTTATGTGGCTGCTGCTGCTTGATCTGGCTGAAATGAGGTTCACAGGGTGAGAGATGCTTCTAAGAACAGGCCCTAGAAGGTATGTCAGGCCTTAGAAATCTGTGTTTCCTTTTGAGACGATATTTTGTGCCTTATCAGTAAAAGAACAGTTCCTACACAAGATACGTGGTTGCTGAATAGAAAAAGGTTTGTGTGTGTACCGTGTAATTTACTGAGAGTTGTAAGCTTTGTGGAAATCTGCTACAATTACTGTAAATAAACCCCACTTGAAACTGTGATGAGTCTGTCAAAATTCTGAGGAATTACATGTTTCTTGTTGATGAAACTTTATGAATTCACTGGGGTGCCCTTTCATTGCAGATACTGTCACTCCTGGTAATGCAATCATCCCAGAGGTGATGCATCCTTTGTGGTGTGCCAGAGACAGCAAAGTTCAGAGCTGTGTGATACTAAATCACCCCTGCTTGTCCCTTAGACCATTTTTATTGTGCATTATGGTCTGTTTCCACTCATGTGGGGCTTTTTCAGGCACCACTGACTGCACACACATTGCTGGTACCCCCTGGTTCTGCATGCTCTAAATCCCTTTTCCATCGTGTTTTCCCACAAGGTGTTAATACACAAATACATATTGCTGTAGTATCTGCAAATGGCAGAGGCCTAATGCATTAGCAAATGAACCAAGAGCACCCAAGTCCTCTCTCCATGCAGCCAGGAGGTGTTATGCACTCTTGGTGTCAGGACCCAGGTAAATGCAGCCAGAGCAGATGGATGTTTATGTCCCTGGTAGCACTCTAGTCCTTATATTTCAACTGATAGAGTCTTACTGCTACATTCATGAGACATAAAGCTTGAGTAAGACTAAAGGTCCTCCTGTCCTCAAGGAGAACCTAGCTACTGCTTTGGTTTCATCCCCATCACAGACCTCTGGTTGCAAACCAGCATTGCCAGAGCCCTGCATCAGTCTGGTGGGCACTGCACTTTTCATCAGGCATCAACAGAGTGGAGAGCCGCAGAGGAGGAGGAAGACCCTTCTTGTCCCTTCCCAAAAAGTCTCGGTGGTGACCTGGCTGGGTGAGCTCACCAGCATTTGCCTATAGCACATCTGCATGTGCTTCAGGCTGAGTGGGATTTGGTGATTCACTGTCAAGGGAAAGATCTCCTTGGCTGTCCATGATCCTTCCTCAAATATCTGCTTATATCAAAAGGAAGCCTCTCAGGTCTTTGATTCTCCTAATTTGCTTTCTCATTAATTTTTGCAGTGTGACTTTCACTTGTCCTGGTGCTAGGGCAGGAATGGGTGAGTACATCCCTCCATGGTCTATCAGCATTTGTGAAGGCTGATCTGTCAATGCCATCACCCTGGAAACCAACCATTTAAGAACAATAGGTATCTTCAACATACTACCATCTGTTAAAGAAAAGCCTTCAAGAATGAAGCAGTGGTGTAGTGAGACACCACAGCTTGCCACTGACCAAAGGAAAGTGGTTGACATGTTTGATGAAGTCTGGTGAAAGAGATGGGGCTACTCGGTGAGGTCCTTGTGGACCTTTCCATGGATCATGGTGGACTCTGGATCACAGACTGAGTGAGAAGCCTGGGGTTTATTCCATATCCTCAGCTTAAGCTGTCACAGGGGTTATTGACCACGTTTCATTGATGATTTCCTGCGCAGGGTGTTGCATGCCTCAGTCCATGCATGCTTCACTGGCAGGATGCTCAGCCCCTGCACGTTTCTGGGGGTTCAGCTCGTTCTGTGGCTCCCAGCATGGTGTGGGAGGAGAGGAGCTGAGGGAAGGATGCCGGCGGGCAGGCTGAAGAGGAAACAGCTTTGCAAAGGGAGAGCAATAGGGGTTTTCTCCTGCAGCTTTATGACAGCTTCCCCCTGGGGACACTTCCCAAGCGCACACCTTGCTTATTGCACCAGAATCATTCATTCATTTCCAGCAACTCCGGGCGAGCGCGGACGTGTCCTGGCCACTCCGCAGCTTTTCCAGTATCCAGCCCCCTTCCCACCATGCTGCGAGGGGATGCAGCCCAGGAGATGGGGCAGATGAGCTGAACCCTGACAACCAGGCCAGGTTGGACGAGGCTTGGAGCAATGGGTCTAGTGGAAGGTGTGGATGAGCTTTAAGGTCCCTTCCAACCCAAACCAGGCTGGGATTCTATATCTGAGGTCCCAGCCTTGCTAGCAGTAGGGTGCTGACTGGTGCAATGTGGGTGTGAGAGCAGCCCTGTAAACACAAATGTCCCTGGAGCTGCTGCCCTCCTGCTCCCAGTGAGCCAAGCTCATCTCGGTGCTTATTGTGGGAGGTCCGTGATTCAGGAATAATTTGGGGTTTATCCTTGATGAAAACTCAGTGTCTGCAGACTAACACAAACAGCCATTGCCCGACACCTTGTTGAGCTACCAACTCCATCATTACTGCTACTTGCTTTACTATCTGCAGGGCATTTATTTCCATTAAGTGTAGGTTTCTTCTACCATCCCGTGCTGTTTGCAACACCAGATGTGATGCTTTAATGCTGCAGTAAAAGGAGGAGAAAGCCCTGTCCGTCTTCCCCAGTTGTACCATTACTGCAGCAGTTTGGGTGTGCTCTCCCAGTGCTCTCCCATGGACTGCATGTCCCCTGGTCTGCTGAAAGCTAGTGGTATTCTTTATTGCTTGTGTACAAAAGCACTTCAGACAATGTCTGGTCTGCAAGTCCTGGCCTCTGCGTGGGAAAGCTTAGAGGAATCAAGTGTGAAATGTGGTTCTAGAGGGTTTTCTGCTGCCTTTAAAGGAAAATGAGAGGGGAAAATAAAAGAGCAAAAGCTGAATTTAAGCAGTAAAAAAAGTCAAGCTATAGCAAATTGTGAGAGTAAGGACCAGGGCTGCTTGCTGATGTCTTGCTCTGGTCCTCAAGGTGGAGCTGGTCCAGATGCTGCTGCCTTTTGCCTCACCTTCAGATCCGGGGGAACACATGTGGGGCAGCAGCGTGCTCCCCAGAGCTGCCCTGCACGATGCTGCTGGAGGTGAGGAACGCGGAGTAGGTGAGGTCAGCATCCTTCTTGGAGCTCTACGGGAGGGACAGGAGGACACTGTGAGGGGGCTGCAGACCCACAGCAGCACATGGTGAGGGAAAGGGCAATGTTTTGGGGCTGTGAGCTTCTCAAGATGATACAGGCAGGCTGCACACCAATGTGAAAGCATCATCATGCCTTCGCTCAGCCCTGGGAAGACCCCAGATGTTGCAGGTTTGGGACTCTGTGTCATGTCCGTCCCTGCATGATGGCATCCAGCTCACCTGCCCTACAGCTGCTGGGTTTTACTGGTTTCCTGTTAGTTCCCTTTGTTCCTCCAGTTCAGCTCTCAGTGCTTAAAACACCTACATACTGCCTTTGGTTAGGGGCTTTGAACAAGAAGGGCTTGCATTTGGCACCTTCTGCTGCTGCTGAGTGGTGCCACTCAACCATGACCTAACCCAAGGGGCCACAGGAGCAAGTCACAGCCCTTGCAAATGGGAGAGACCTCCTTGCCTACCTCTGCGCCCTGAACCACTGCCTGAGTGGGGGAAGGCTCTGGTTCATCCAGGTATTTCATATTGAAGATAACAACCCAACCCCAGCCTTCCTGGTGCTACCTGGAGCTGACTGCAGGTACTGGTTGAAGCAAGGTGACTGCTATCACTGTCTCTGCTAAAACATGGGTCCAGGAAAGGGTTAAGGTCCCCCTCGGAGGCTGATCTGCAGCAGGTGCTGGAGTCAGGTTAGTTGGGAGCATCTGGGTATAAATAAGGCCCCTGGGAGAGAGCAGCTCCTCTGGCAGAGGGTGAAGGGCTGTGCTGGTGCCTCTCAGGTCAGTGGGCTCTCTCCTGCCTCCTCTTACCCTTTTTGCCTTCTTTGTCTCGGCAGCACTTTCCGGCGTGGCCGCGGTGGTGATGAACTCTGCGGGGAGAGAAAGGGAGGTGTTGGGGTGCGGGCACCATCAGTGGGTGGTTCTGTAGCTTTCGTAGGGTCCTTCTGCAAACCCTGGGGCTGGGAAGCATCCCATCAGTCAGCACCTACCGTCCCCTCCTATCCGAGTCTCCTGGGTCTCTTTCACACAGGAGTTATTGGTCACACCATAGTCCTTAATGCTCTCGAAGTCTGACATGCTGATGTTTGTCCTGTAGCTCCCAATGGACACCAGGTCTGTTAAGAGGGAGGAGATAAGTACCCTGTGGGCTCATTCAGAGTCAGTGCGAGTGCATCAGCACCCCAAGAGCCTCTGTGCAAGGAGGCACGGTGCCATGCGATGTGCAGAGCCTACAGAGGGGTGGTCTCTGCCTCAGCCCAGGCACTGTGTGTGATGGAGAGGTCTGAACGGGGTTGGTGGGAGAAGTGGGATCCTTTGTCTGCATGGGGGGGGGGGAAAAGGGGAGCCCAGCACACACACGTTATTGCCTTCATCTTAGCATACTAATATTAATATAACCTTAATATGAGGTTTTGAGAGACTACAGGGAGCAGAGCAGGGACTCACCAGATCTTTTCAGCTGCCTGTATTTGAACACACCAAAAGCTGTCGTGATGATAAGGAGCACAGCACCAACAGGAGCCAGAACTAACAGAAGAGTATTGGGGCCACTTTGATTAGGGCTGCAATGGATGGAAAAAGAGATCACTAAGCCATGAAATACGTTATCTTTGAATTATTCAAGACTGAATAATGTGTATGAATGTCCAGCAGTCTAAAACCTCTACAGTGTGGTAAATCTGAGTGAGTGTGATGTAGTTCAGCTGATGAACTAACACATAGAATCAACCAGTAACTAAATAAAACTGCAGGACAGAGGTTGTGCTAAATCAGCTACATCAGCAGCTTGGTTATAAATGTGTGAAGGAAAAATCTCTGATTTTGACAGAGGATTTTCACTGAGTTTTTCTGTACCTCGAATCCCCAACCATTCCTTCTGGGGCTGCATTTGCTTAAGTTAGAGATTAATTCTGTGTCATCTTGCATTTTGTTGTAACTATTATCTGTTTTCCTCTGATGTTTTAAGTTCTCTGGGGGCAAGAATTTCTGTGTTGCTAAACCACACATGGAGTGTGCAAACACAGCACCAAAAGTAGGTTAATAGAAATATATTAATATTAGTATAAGGCATGATAAATGACAGGCTTGGAGAGAACTAACCTTTCAGAGGCAGCATCGTTGATTCTTCCTTGGGGAATAACCCCACCCTCAGCAGGGCTGGGGGCCTTGACAAGGCTGGGGACATCAGCATCCAGGGACTCCGGGCTGTGGACACCAGCATCCAGGGACTCCGGGCTGTGGGCACCAGCGTCCAGGGACTCCGGGCTGTGTCTGGCGCTTTCTCCTGTATCATCCGGGGAAGAAGGGCTGTTAATGGCATGAGCAGCAGCATGGAACTGGTGACACAGAAGCTAGTTGGCTGTATCTGGTGGATGTGGCACTGAGGTGGGTTTTGGCTGTACATTGGCTCAGGAGAGACCTTATAACAGTCTTCCAGTACTTAAAGGGGCTACAAGAAACCTGGAGAGGGGCTTTGGACAAGGGATGGAGGGACAGGACAAGGGGAATGGCTTGAACCTGCCAGAGGGGAGATTGAGATGAGCTCTGGGGCAGAAGCTCTTCCCTGTGAGGGTGCTGAGCCGCTGGCACAGGGTGCCCAGAGAAGCTGTGGCTGCCCCATCCCTGGCAGTGTTCAAGGCCAGGTTGGACACAGGGGCTTGGAGCAACCTGCTCTAGTGGAAGGTGTCCCTGCCCGGGGCAGGGAGTTGGAGCTGGTTCATCTTAAGGTCCTTTCCAACCCCAGCGATTCTACGATTCTCTGCTACAAATTGTAATAGCAATAATTAGTGATGACAGCGCTAAGGAGTAAAAATGGTGTGGAAGGAAATGATTTTTAGACTGGTGAAGGTTTTAGTGATTGGGAAGTAAAACCAACAGAGATTGAAAACAGGTGTAACAAGTGCAGAATCAGGGTGATCCCGGCGTCTCGATGCCTGGATGACAGCCCTTCTGCTTTGAGGTGCTGCAACCTAGCGGCTGTGGAGAAGACTTTCCTCTCAGCAGAAGAAAGGCTGCCTTTGGCTTGGAGCTCACCTGAGGTCACGGACAGGTACACTGCCATGGTTTCCCCATAGCGGCCATTGCGCTTCACGCCACACCAGTACCACCCTTGGTCTGTCTTTGCCACCGAGTCAAAGCTCAGGATAACTGTCTTGTCATCGGTGTCGCACGTAACTTCCGACCCTGGCTGCCTTTGGTCAGAAGCAGGCAGGGGGGTGCAGCTAGTGCTGCTCCACTTGCACCAGTACTTCTGGTAGGAGTAGTACCGGCACTGGTAAGAGCATGTCAGGTTGAGCTGAGAACCCTCTTGTGCCTCTACTTCCTCTTTTCCCTGTAGTCCAGGTTGTCCTGCAAAGACAAACAGAACATCAAGGCTGATGGTGGTGGGAACAGTCATCAACGGGTAGTGGTGCTGCCAGAGACTGTGAACCAGGAGGTGTGTCTCTGAGGGGAAGTGCTCCTTACATAGCAAAATGCATGGTAAGGATGCTGTATATGCATCTCTGGGTGGAAGCTGGATTGGCTTTTGGTTGGGTTTTTTCCCAAGGCTTAAGAAATATTTGCATGAGACACTTCTGTGAACACTTTCCCATGAAACTGAAACCTTGTGTTTCCAGTTGAAAGCCACTGAGGTGTTGGGGAATTGGCACAAGGTTTCACCTTATGAGAGAAAAGTTCAGAGTTTGACCTTGCAGCTCTTCCTAAAAGGCCAGATCTGCTACTTTGTGATGCTTAGAGGGGTTTTTTGTGCCTACTGAGCTGGCAGAGAACCGTCAATGCACAAGCTCATACCGTCCACGATCTTCAGCTCAGTTGATGACTGCTGCTCTTCCACCTCATTTGTCATGCACCAGTAATAGCCTTCGTCACTGTCCTTCAGCTGGTTCAGGATGATGGTGATCGTCTGGTTATCTGGGCTCTCATACATGGCCACTCTTCCTTCATACAAGCCTGACACGTACCCGGAGTTGTCTATGATCCGAGAACAGCCGTTCTGTCTCCACTTGCACCAGTAATTCACTGAGGTGCCCTTCAGAGGCTTATAGTGGCATTCAAATGTCGCTGAACTTCCTTTTACTCCAAATATCGTGGGTTTTACTTGAGGATCGTTAGTCTCTGGAGAGAAAAATGAAATGAGCAGCTCTACATGTCTGACTTGTGTCCACGTGCAAGAGAACGAACATTATCAGATCAATGCTGTTATGGCTAAAGCAAGGTGAGGCGAAGCTCAGAGGTGCAGGTGGTAGGAGACTGGCACTGCTAGGGGAAGGGCAGGGTGTCTTTTTGAGATTTTAGGAGTTAAGACTCAAAGAGACAGTTCGCTTGTCTCAAACTGGGAGGCAGAATTTGCCTTCTGGAGTTTTGGGCTACCCAGATTACATAGCTGGGAACATGAAGTCTTGATGCAAGCTTTATCGGTGATGATTTAGCACATTACAGATAGCTAAATTAGTAGAAAGGAGGATTTAGATGAGAGAATGGAATAACAGCACTCTGCAAAAGAGACTGAAGCTCTTGTTAAATAACATGAGACTGCTGGTGATGCTTCTGAAGAGAAGCAGAAGTGAAGGAAAAAACCTTCAGGGAATAGCTTACCCTCATAGACGTGCACATCCAGTTCCTTTGTTTCTCCGCTCTGCCCATAGACACCGACCCCACACAGGTACAATCCAGAGTCTTCCCAAGTCATGTGAGTGATCATGATGCTGAATGAGCCTGGAGCCTCCGTATTGCTCAGCAGAGCTCGCCCTCTGTAATCCTCATCAATGTTCCCATAGCTATCGATGATGTTAACGCAGCCGGTTTTACTCATCTTGCACAGGAATTTCCTCATGCTCTCATAGTCGTTCCCAAAGTTGCAGGTCATGGCCAAAGTGCTGTGCAGCTTCACGTAGAAGAGCTCAGCTCCCTCGGGTATATGAGAATCTGTGTGTTGAGAGACCAGTCAGCATCTACTGCCCGCTCTGTTGTAACTACAACTCCTAGAGACCTCTTGAAGGCTTTTGTTAGCAGAGGCTTTCTCTCTACTTTACTATATTATATGATCATGTGCCAGTACTATATGATCATGCCATGGCCTGAGCATGATCTGTGTCCCATGTTTACACCATGCTCAGCAGTGTGATGCTGTTTAATCTGATTTTTTTTTTTTTAATGCTGGAATTTTAGGCCAAAAATTCCTTCTGTAAGAGCATGGGGGAAATGGAAACTGCTGCTTCCTGGAAGCATGGAGCATCTTCAGCTTTTAAACACTGGACAAACTGTGTGTGGAGCCTTATTAAAAAGGGATTGAAAACAAACCACCCAAGAAAATAATACTTTATGGAGCCCCAAGAGTGTAATTACCTTTAGAAACATCCAGATTGACTTTGTGGGTGAGCCTTCTACTGTTGATGCCAACACCGCACTGGTAGGTGCCTGCGTCTGCCATTGTAAGCTCAGAGATGCTGATCTGGAAGTTTTCTTCCTGTGGGTTGTCGGTGATGGAGGCTCTGCCTCGGTAGCCTGGAGCAGTGTAGCCGCTGGTGGAGGTAACAGTTAAGCAGCCCGTGGCTGACTCCTTGCACCAATACTTCCTGTCATGTCTGTTCACTCGACTGGGAGGGTAGAAGCACGTCACAGTGACTGACCCGTTGAGCAGACCATATACCTGTCGTGGTCCGAACACAGGGCTTGAGACTGCAAGAGGAGAACGGGTTGGGTGTAAGTGTTGGCTGTGCTACACAACCCGATGGGACTACAGAGCAGGTCAGGTGTACCAGGGCAAGCACAGACCAGAACTGTGCAGCATCATGCAGTCTGAAAGGTCCCATCGGCACTGATGGGGTAGAGACCCTCCCTAAACACTGCTCCCCTCTTAGTAATGCCACCTCTAGTCTAAGGCCACCCACAAGAACTGTACCCCGGACAGGTTACACTTACTTGATGCCTTGGGGAGGTATTTGCCTCTTGCATATTCAGCAGGGAGGAACGTGAGCAGGAGGATCAATGCTAGTGAAGTCATTTTGCTTGCATTCCCTGGAAAAGGCACAGAAGTCTGGGAATAATCATACATGCAAAATTGTAAAGTTAATAGATCAAGTACTGACCTTCATGCCTGCAGGATATGAGCATTGTGGCTACTTGAGCTCAAGAGAAATGCAGCATTTAATCAGTTCTGCCAAGCAATTGAGGGGGGAAGAGGGAGCTCATAACTCTGTCCTTGCCTTTGCTGCTGCATGGCACCATGACTACCCATGGCTCTCATCCCAACACCTCCATCTCTCCTCTGTAAAATGAGAAGAACTGTTTTTATGGCAAGCCACCAGTGTGTCTGTCAGAGCAGAGCCCCCAGGGCACTGTCCCTGGGCAGGCAGCAGCAGTGGTGTGCACAGCATCAGAGATGATTCTGGCCAAACCACGAGAGACTTGGTTCAAACTCTGAAGTGGTGTGTGGCTTTAGGCTGTAAATCAGAACAGCCCATCACAAGGCTGAAGTCCAGACATGGTCCAAAAGACACTGAGCCCTGACAGGCATGAGAGTCAGGTGGCAACCCAGAGCAAAGCTGCTCACTTGATGCCAGCCAGGAGATAATGCTGCTTCTAATAGCCCAGGAGGTGGGGTCATATTTTCTTTCACTGCTGCTTATGCAGTGAAAGGAAGGTTTGTTCACACGTGAGCCCGGGTGCCAAGACCACTCCTTAGGAAAACCTGCTCTCACAGATTCCCAGTCTGGTTTGGGTTGAAGGGACCTTAAAGCTCATCCAGTTCCAGCCCCCTGCCCTGGGCAGGGACACCTTCCACTGGAGCAGGTTGCTCCAAGCCCCTGTGTCCAACCTGGCCTTGAACACTGCCAGGGATGGGGCAGCCACAGCTTCTCTGTGGCAGTGTCTTGCCATGCTCACAGTAAAACTTTCTTCCTTTATGTCCAGATTTCTTCCTTATGTCATGAGCAGAGTTTCTGCATGAAGCCTGTATTTCACTACTGCTCTCAGGGATGGCCACTGGGGAATGCAAACCACACTGTGTGTCTCTTGAAATGTGTCCATAGTCTTCAGGATGAATATTTCTGACCTTCTCCTTGGTTTGGACCCAGTGGTGGCTCAGAGGAAGCCAAGCCTCTCCCTTCACCAAACTGTTGGTTTTAGCCTGAACTGAGTGTGCTGGTGGACACTGCATGGTGCAGTGGTGGGAACGTGCGTTTCCTGACCACAGCTGTTGATGTACCTGCCTGTTCCAAGTAGAATAGAGAAAATGACAGGTGCCAAGGAAAGTCTTTCTAAACATTCAGAGGAATTTGACTTTGGGATGTCAAGCGACACAGTTTTATGAAGGGTAATTCCCGGTAGAAAAAAAGGCTTTTATTTCCGTGTGAAGATGAAAGGTGCTCTGTTTGTGCTTTCTTCCTTGTATTGTGATTTCTAATTGCTCAGTGGCTACTTGTCCATGGCTAATCATTAACTCACTAAGCATGAAAAATGCTCTTTCATACATATCCCAGAAGTGGCCAGCAAGGCAAACATAACATATTCTGCAGAGAGCAAACAATATGGCACAAAAAGGGCCTTGATATTTGCCCCTTGCTCACTGCAGATCTTCTGGCTGATGGTCCCTGCCCTCCACCTTTTGTTCTGCAGTGCAAGCAGGATCCCAGCTCAGCTTTCTCCTTCTGGGCAAATACTGAATAATGTGTTAGTCCGATTCCTTTCCAAAAGCTGCTTCAGGGTCACAACATGATTTTGCCGGGGACCTCTTGTTTTTGAAGCAAAGATGTAGCTGTGTCCAGAAAGATGCGTGCAAAAGTGATGGCATCAGGGTCTTCATAGGCATGTTAGAGCAAAAAAGATGTCTTGGCAGCTCTGAGGCCACATGTGCCTTCATGCCTACGCAAGAACAATGGCTCCTGTGTGCTTGCATGGCCAACATCTGCAGCTCCAAGTTGCCTCTAGTCCTGTTTTCTCGGATGCTGTTAAACCCTTCCCTCAGTCACTGAATGAATGGAGAAAACTCCCATTATAACAAGCCTGAGCAAGCACAGCCACCGGTTACGTAAAAATCTGTGATGAATTTCCATGCTGATCACTGGGATGCATGGCTGGAAGCTCCCTCTCTGCTGCATTGCATTCAGACAGTGACATTTCCTACCCCACAGGAATGGTGCAAACACGCTTTGCTGGTCACTCTGCAATGAACAAGCGCTATTTGAGATGCTGAAGGAGAATTGTTGGTAAAAGAGCTCTAGTTCCTTCTTGCTTGCAAAGAACTCTTGCTGCTGGATTTGCTGTCTCTATTCAGAGCACAAGGTCTAAACCTCAGAGCTCCATGGAAGAGAAAATGCTGCTGAGCTCATGTGAAAGGGAGTGCAAGTAAGTGGCTGCGCAAGGGATTTGTATTGATGCTGCTGCAGGTGGAGGGGGAGCCAAGAGAGATGGGACAGCAAAGGTCTGTAGGGGGCTATATAAGAGTCAAGAGGCTTGAAACCAGAGGGAATGCCATGTATGCTATTCCAGGGAAGCAAGCTTACAGCAAGGAGGTCTGCAGTGCTCTTATCCTTCTGTGTGCCCAGAGCCAGTGACTGCTGAAGGACCAGTGCTGGGAAGGGTGAAGTGCCTCTGCTTCCCCCTCTTGCAGGCACTGACCTGCATATCCAGGTGCCTGTGCTGGATTTCTGATGCTCTTGGAGCAGGAAGGACTGAGCACATGAGACTGTGGTGTCCCTGTGGACTGATGGATGCTGGAAACCTTTCCTGCAGGGAAAACCCACTCCTAGCCCTCTGCAGCAGGATGGGTCACCAGGACCTCATTTGGTAGCTGACGTGCATGGCAATGTGCCTGCAGCCCACTTTGCATGGCCATCAGAGCTCCTGCCTGCGCCAAAGCTGCTGGGCAGGAGGGATTGTGGAAGCTGAGACGTGGACACAGGATTTGTGTTGTGTGTGTCCATGCAGGCAAACAAGTTGCTGTCTTAAACCTAATGCATTAAAAACCTAATGAGAAACTGTCTGCAAGGCAGTGCAATGGACTCATCAGGAGGGAAAGCAGGAAGGGAATGTGCTTGTTCCCACTGGGAAGGTGTCTCTGAGAAGCTGCTCTGTAGCATGGGGCACAGAAGGTGCAGATGCCCAGTTCTGGTTAGCTTAAAACATTGACAGGTGAAAAGGGGGAGCAGGGCTTAAAGCCTTGTACTAGTTTTCCTCCTCTTCTCTCTCCACCCAGGATTTGCAGAGAAGGAAAAGCTTTCAGCTGCAAAATTGTGGCTGGGGTTTGCGAAGTCCCTGTTGCAACAGTGGTCCTCTTTGGATTATTCCCAAGCGTGGGCTGGGGCTCTGCTCCCTTTTGTAACTCAAACCTTTGTGTATTTACTTTCATTCTACATCACCAAACCTGCTGGCTTTCTTCTCTCCCTGTCCCAGCACAACAGGTTTCGAAGGGGTTTGAGCACAAAACCAGTATCACAGCTGATTTTGAGAGATGGAAATTCTCATATTGGTGCATGAGCTTCCCACTTTTAACCCAGGCCTCTGGATACCAGTGTCAACAAGAGCAGGGCAATAGCGTTGTCTTCTCACTGCTGGGGGTGGCTCCATGCTTCCTCGCTGTTTGCAGCGTGCTGCTGTGATTATGTGTGTGTATAATTAATAATAAAGCCCTATACTATAGTATAATGGCAGGTAAAAACTTATTCTAAACTGTATCATGTTTCCACTATCTGGATTGTGTTGTGTTTCTTGCCACCACCTAAGTGCATTGGAACTCGGTGTGTGTGTTGGTTAATGCTGGGTGACCATGGATCTCCTCAGTGTGGGTTTGGTGTAAAAAGCCATGCAAATGGGAAAATTACACAATAGCCTTTTTTTCTTGCTTTCCCACTCAGGACATCTGAATGGTTTTGTTGTCTTAGTGTCCTCTTGAGAATGAATAACACTACTTGGCTTGATTTGGTACGTTGCTGTGCTCTTAAACCTCTCTGCATTACCCCTCCACTGGGTGGGAGAGAAATCTCAGTGCTGTGTGTAAAGCTTTTGGGAGGTTAGACCCCACCTCAAGCCCCACAGCCAGTCTGCCTTGCTTGTATGGGTGCGTCTTTGATGTCTCCACCCATAGAAAGTGGCTCATGGTGCTTTTTCAGGGTAGGAGGTTGGTCTGAGACCTCCCTGGGCTGGGTTTCCCAGTCTACTGTATGTGGATGCTTCCCTGGATCCCCCAGTGCACTGCAGGAGTGGCCTGGGTTGGGAACATCACCTTCCTCTCTAGCACTATCAGATGCATAAATCTGGAGTTAGTGCTTTCAGGTTTCCATCTAAACATCATTCACTACGAGTCCACCTCTGGGGTTCTGTGGTGCTCTTGCCACCCTGTCAGTCCAATGGAGCAGGATGGTGACATTTAGAATGATTTGAAAGAGCTCAGGACCTGTCCCCTGGGTTATATAAACCCCAGCAAGCACCTGCCTCTTGCTGGTGACAGAACACCAGAGTCCAGTGCCCAAATTCTGCTGACTCAGCTGCAGGATTGGGCTCTGAGAAACAATCCGTTAGCTATTAACTATTGCTCTTAGTGCTGACCAGTGTCAAGGCTGTGCTATGGCATCAACAAAATGCAAAGATTTCATTGTCACATTTGTACTTGTAGCCTGGGCGTCCTTTTTGTGTTGTCAAATATTTACTGTTATTCAGATAGTTGAGAAATAATAAGAAATGAATGGGGAAGTAGTTTTTTCCCCTTCAAATCCTTTTAAAGCAGGACCCACAAACACCATGAGGAAGGCGTAGAGATGCAAACTGGTGCTGAGCAGCATCAAGAGTTATACTGTGAGGAGGAGTATATGCATATACTGTGTGTATATATAGTATATACTGAGGAGTATGTATATATTATGCTAGGGGTGATTTATGGAGGTGCTGAAGTTTTCTGTGCCTAGAAGAAAGGCACAGCAACAGACTCCTTGCTGAACAGGACTGGGGCTACCCCCATCTTTAAGCTGCCCATCAAGATTACTGCATATATGGCCTTAATGTGAGTTTTGTTTGCTGTGGTGGGTTGGGGAAAAGCCACAAATCCACCCCATTTTCATGGAGTTGTGAATGAGCAACCAGCTTCAATATAAAAGATCAAGGATCAAGCTGACCCAAACACATAGCGAAAATTAAGTATTTCACATCCCAAACCAACACCTC